TCTGGTGCTGTTTGAGCCGCAGCCGCTCGCTGTGCTACTTCAACAGTCATCCTAGTTTTTTTCTGGCTTGCAGGCTAGCAGATTCTCACACGAGGGGAAAATCGGCTCAGGTAGTATACTTATTTTTTGCACAGGCATTTGTTTACTGTGAAGTAAAGTTGAAGTGCTGAAAATTTTAAAACAAATTTTGAATAAAACTTGAAGAATAACTGGCAATTGCGTGCTCATTTTAAGATGTCTTTCATATTTTATAACATGCTATTTGATATAATGGCTTACAAACACAAAAGGGTAATTTATTAGAGTACTCAATCGATAAAAGATTCGATAGAGTACTCGATTACAAAAATATTCGATAGCTGCAGCCCTAGCTGTGGTTATTAACAGACCATCCAAGCAGGTTTCTGCTTCTTTTTATCAGGAAGTAAATTTATATTTCTGTACTTTGTTTCGCTGGTTGAATGGGGAAATGCTGTGTCGTTTAACTGCTTGGTCAGACATGCTAGTGGGGCTGCTGGCTGGATAAGAAACTTGAGCAGATGCCCGTCTTCTTCTGGCTCCGATGCAAGGCTGTAGTAATGCTGGTCACTTGTGGATCTCTGAGGGAGATCACAGAAACACTGTAGCTGTTTTAGTTGATGCTGCTTCACTTTTGAGTCACTCAACTGCATTTTCTCATTAACAGTTTGCTGGCTGAATGGGAGAAAATTCTATGAATTTAACATAACACTGCTTAGTGTAAGACGGGTATCTGACCGAGGATAGTGGAGGCCATTGGGCTTTGCTGGTCCACCACAATGAAAGGTCCGCGAGACCACCATTGCCGACACTCCTGGCTGGAGACGCCCAATATCTTTGGTCAGCTTAACTAGTTATGAAAAACAGTTCACGAAAACACCAACCCAGACAACCATGGCTATAGTAGTTAGCAGGCTCAGACAAGACACAACTTTTCATAAAAGGACAAACCTCACAGCAGACGACATAGCACGATTAACTGAACTGGTAGCTAACTCCACTTACTTCACTTTCAACGAAAACATATACCAACAACTAGAAGGCTTCGCCATGGGAAACCAATATCAGCCCCCTTTGGGTGTTCCTCATGGAAGATCTGAAACAGAAAGCCATAGCCACTGCCCCCTCCCTAACTCAACAAGCGAAAAACAGAACACCAAAGGGAGCATGAGAGGGAAACAAGTTGAAGACACACAAGAGCAGAAAGTACAATAAAGACATCTGCTAACCCTAACAGACCACTGCACAAGGGAAAACCACATAATGGACTGGGATGTTACAGGGATCATAGACATCTCTAAGGAGACGTGGACACAGGACCATGAACAGAGACGATGGAACATTCACAGTGGATCACTCATGGGACTGTGTCATCAGCAAGGAGGACGCGGGCAGTAGAGGGCGACACCGTCCTCCACTGCCTGCGGATAAAAGGAAGTGACGCCACCATCACTGGCGATCTCTGATGATGGCTAGAGCTACTAGCTGAAACGTGTGATGTAAACAAATCATTTTTAACAAACTGTGTAAGAAAATAACTAAAAAATGGATTACGGACAAAAAACACAGTATGAACGCACAAAAGTGGGATTAACTAGTTATGACTTGTTACCAAGCAAGCGAGGGTACCTTCACGTTGGAGTCGCTCTACCATGCTTTTCTTACTAAAAACACCCGGAAAAATTCCATTAACTTTGGGTTAGCATGTAGCTAATGTCCCGCTGTTCTCCGACTGTGGAGAATGAGCTAATCTAAAATGCCTGGGCGTCCGGTCGCAGCAGTCTGGGGCTCTGCTTGTAATTTAACAGTCCCAGTTCATATTAGATCCCCATAGGCAACCAGCATGACTACAGCCTCACACAGAAGCCAGTCGGCCCTGCGAGTGTGCTACCCCGCAGTCCCCGGAGCCCTTCTTAGCTTCATGGGCTAGCTAGATTAGTAGCTACATTGGTTAATTTGTTCCAACCATGTTCCAAAAATTACAGCCCCTCCCTCAGCTCCACCTCTTTTCCCATTTTTGTGTTGTCTGTGCGTGATGAGATATTTGACTCCATCAAAAAAAAAAATCTGTGGTGGGAACCTCCCGTTTTTGGCTTCAATCTGTTTCCTAGCAGAGCAATGGGCAGGCTATGTCCATATTTTTATATGTCGATGTGCTAAACTAACTCAAATATGTCAAAAACTTTATATTTTTTGTATAGTATCTAAAAGTTGGGTCATTTTGAGAAAAACAGATTTTCCAATATTACATTTTAATGCCAATATCAGTTGATATGAATGTTAAACGGATAATATTAGACATCCAAAAATGATCTCATCTTGTGCTTGTACTCCAATGTCCTTAAATCATCTGGTGCTTGGATCAGTAAACTAGAACGGGGTCGGCAACCCGTGGCTCTGGAGCCGCATGCGGCTCTTCCATCCATCTGATGCGGCTCTCTGTGCTTGTAAAATTATGAATGAATAAATAAAATGCTTTACATTTTACTGCATTAATTTTACATCTGTATGCCAATTCTAAATGTAAAGATTGTCTGCATAAATTTGAACAGGTCCAACCCGGTCTTACTGTGAGACCGGGTTGACGGGTCACGCTTGTGCGTAATCAGATGTCTCTATAGGCGCTTCCTGAGCTGAAGAGGATGTGAGATTCTGGGCTTCTCCTCAGACGGCTCCTGGATGTGTCGCCACATTGGAGACAGAAACAAGCACTATTCAGCCAAAGTTTCATAATCAGGGAACATTTTCTGAGTGACAAGTCTCTCTGAGAGACCGGGTTTGGAAAACGCTCGCTTCAGTGGGAGGAACCTTCCCGCATGCGCTCTGGTTCTGCGATGCGCTCCAAGCCAATCTCCACATCTTCAGCTCGCTGTGCACCTTACGTACGCGCTGACAGCGAGCTGCGCTGAGCAGTGTCCAGTTCAGATGTTCAGATGGGAATCTATTCTTGAGTGATTTAGCTACATCTGCGATGTGCATAACGAATAAAATGTCAGTTTGTCTGCATGCGTCGGGGTAATTCTTTCTATTCTTTCTCCGTCAAAATAAACGGTCAAATACGGGAACTATCCAGTCAACACAAGCCCTGCTTTTGACTGTTCTGTTTTCTTGTGAAAATTGTTGCAAAGAGATATAATTTAACTTGATTAACACCAGAGCCAGGCGCACTGCGCCGTCATCTCCCTCACTGTAAATGAGGGGAAAACACATTGATCGGATCCTTTTCTGACCTTCCCCACCTACAAAGTTTAATTACAACAATCAAACGTGACAGAGCCTGGATTTGTATTCTAACAGTTTAAACATGTTTTAAAAAGAAACGTGTGACAAAAGTGGCACCTGCTCAGTAAAACCACAGACGGGCTACAAATTCTGGATACATTTTATACAAATCGCTTTATTGATTATCTTCTGTTGAAAGATAAATCTGACGTACACGAGCGACCGGTATTGGCTGCTGTCACCTGTTGTGATTGGTTACAGCAGCTCTCTACAGTGGCTCCCAGTGTTTTCTTTACTGTGGGAAACAGGCAATGATGGCTCTTTGATGTGAACAGGTTGCCGACCCCTGAACTAGAATGCCTGAGTAACGCTGTAGCTGTAGCATACTGGTGGCCATGTCTTAGCAGCAAAAAAAATGTTGCTAATATTATGTTTTAACAGGGTCCAATACTGTCTGCATTTACGTTCACCTCTGAACACTTAAACTCACACACACAAAAAAACACGACAAGCCTCGGGAAACATCTGTAAAGGCTGAAACCTGCTAAAGTTCCTGACAGAAAACCGTGGTAGTTAGTAGTAATGTGTTGTCTGACCTTAAGCACCAAAAGCTGTGAGATGTTGAAGCATCAGTCATACTCGTAAGCACCGCACTCCGTGCAGATACCGATATCTGATATTAAGATCATTGTTATGGCCAATAACCGATACCGATATACTGACAATAATGCTTCTAAAATCAGCAGATTTTGTATAGAATTAAATTATTAAAGCTGCATGTACATTATTATGTACACACAACACACACATTTACGGTTCTGAGATTTCATTCACTGTCACATGACTAAACAATTACACATTACCCCCCCACCACCACCACCACCACCACCACCACCACCACCCTCTAAAACAGGCAAATGGAGACGAGATGGAAAAAAATATTGGTTGTTAATATCGGCCCAGTTTTATTCATCAAACAGACATCGATGTTAAAAAATGACTAACATCGGCCGATACCGATATTGATGTCGATATATTGTCCATTCCTAATAAAAACAATAATAATACACCAAACTTATATAGCGGTTTTTAGGACACTCAAAGATGATTTCACACACTCACATTCCCACACTGCTAGTGATGGTGAGCTACTATGTAGCCACAGCCACCCTGGGGAGGTCTGACAGAGGTGAGGCTGCCATTTGGCGCCATCGGCCCCTCTGACCACCACCAACACAAGGAAGTTGGGTGAAGTGTCTTGCCCAAGGACACAACAGCAGAAAACCTCTGGCGGGAGCTGGAATCAAACCCATGACCATGATCATGAGGCAACCCGCTCTACCTCCTGAGCTGCTGCCTCCCCAGCAATCGTAATAAAACAGCATTACTAAAAGGGGAAAACTTTACTTTTGATATCAGTACGAATTTAAGCAAATTTTAGGAAGCAAAGAGCAAGTTGCCACATGAGGGAGATGAAACGAAAACAGGGTTCTCCTGACGGCCTGTCTCAGCTGTTGTTTTGGTGATCAAGGTGTTTTGGTCGAAAACCTCTAATGATTAATATCATTCTATATAACATAACTCAACACACCCCAAAGCGTTCAGCGAAAGGAATCCTATTATTTACTTATGTTTCTGGTGTCTGTGTGTTTGAAATCTTCTGTTCTGACTATTATGGGATGAGATGCAAAATGCCAGGAAACTGAAGCGATACAAATCTTTAATATAACAATGAACTAATCAATATGATGGTCCATTACCTTCCTTCAAGGCTTTGTCCACATTGTGTGACACCACTACCCTCCTGCTCTGACTGGACTCCTGAGCTGGCACCAAGAACTGCCCCTGAGGAACAACAAAATAATCTGATTACTTCACTCCATCTTCAGACAGAGAAACAACTGCCTGAAAAGAAAAGCAGAGGGTCAAAACAAAAGGTGATGGAGAAGGGCAGAAGAACATGTCAACCCAGACAAATGTTTCTGACAACCTCTCTCGGATGTCAACATCAACGTGATCAGCAGGAAAGCCATGGCAGCCTGCTGCAAAGACGATAACTGCGCTAAAGTGCATAGATGACAGGAGAGAGGATACCGCCAGAGGGGTGCAACAGGAATCCTGCTGTGTTGTGACCTACCATCAGCCTGCTGAAGAACTCCACACGTGCAGCTGGCTGCCTTCTGCTCCTGTCAAAGCAGCTGATCTTCAAAGGGCTCTTCCTGACCAGTAGAACGAAACTCCCAGCCAGGAAACACAGCAAGGCGAAGGAAACGTAGATGAACAGCTTGAGGAAGAAGGAGGTGAGGGTCAGGCCTCCCCAGACCAGCTGAAACCCAAGTGCTGCAGCTACGCCTAGGCAGAATGCTGGGACGAAGTGAGGGGAGGTAGACATGGGCTCCTCTTCTCTTCCAGGACGGCTACTCCGTCCAACCGGCGGGGTGGTGGTAGCTGAGGGGGTGGGCATGCTGCGAGCCCACCATCCATATATGTGTCACTGCTGGTTGGTCCCTGCTGCGGAGACGCATGGACTACACAGCCGCGTCCATGACCGTGCATCCCCGCTCTGACATCTCCTCATTGAGCCCCAGAACCGAACCGGCCCCGTCCCAGGGTCAATCACAGGCGCGACAACCGCTGTCACCTTGGAGACAAAAACCATAGCTTTGTAACTGTTGCTAACTTCATGAGCTAGCCCAAACAAACTATAGAAGGTATGCTTACCTTCCTGATTATACAAAAGTGTGTAGATTCAAAAAAAAAAGCTCTTTTGAAGTATTGTATGGTCCGCAAGCTGACTGACAGGTAGCCAACTAGCTTAATACAACATTAGCTAATGCTAGCTAGCTCAGCTATCGGTAAAAATAAACAACTAAAATCTGACCGACGACTCATCATCGTTTCCCACGCAGAAACAAAAGTACCAGAATATATCTACTGACTAAAATAACGTGTCCCCAAACCGCCCAAAGCTAGAGGCACCGACCGCGCTGAGCTCAAAACAAGTAAATGTTGTGTTTAAGGAGCTCCAGCTGACTGGAAAGGAGTCAGCCAATGAGCGTTGTCGTTGACAGCTGACGTTGTGTACGCTTTAGTCTTCCTGACAGTTAGAAAGGGCGGGGTTCTAATGTGAACGTAGAAATCGATTCACCGCCCAACAACCCGCGTTCTATTATCAAACATACCATCAGATGAAAGCTGTGCTCATCTCTGTGACGTCAGATTCGTCGCAGGCTGCCGTACACACAAAGGCGTCATTCACCCTGGACACGAACGAGGGTTTTTACAGCGAGTCCTTATGTATTTATTTCACAATATCATATCACACACATAAATATCTATCTGATTATAACATCAGACGTTTTGTAGAGAGCGACATGCAGAAGTGTGAGCACTGTTTATTACTGGAAGCTTAGTCTTTTAAGCAGGGCCGGTGTCGGTACAGGATCTGCTCGGGTGCAAGATCAATAATACCTACCTGCAGATCCTCTCCAAACACGCCCCCATGTGCCTGTTGAGCTACCCCCGAGCTCAATAACGGCGGCCCTCCCAGCGGGCGGGGAGCATCCCGCTGTCAGCTCCAGCAGCTCCACACAATTGAAAGAATACGTTTATACAGAAATAGTAATAACGTAATTAAACAGACAGGACTCCAGGTTTAAATATGAATGTATGGATTTTTTTTCTTGCAAACACACTTTATGGCCATCTCTGTGAGATTATTTTTGTTTCTTGCATACACACTTTATGGCCATCCCCAGTGAGATTATAAAACACAGATACCACCAACAAATAATCAGTTGCCGAACAATAGGCACAACGTACCTATGCTACTGAAGTTAGCAGGTGAGTAATGTATGTGCAAGTGTTCATTTTAAACGCAATAAAATTAAATGTCAGAAAAAGTAATTTGTGGTAATCGTTTTAAATAACCCCTTAAGCCCACTAGCCTCCATTTTTGGGAGCACGCCTCTTACAGCAACATTTAACTTTCAACCATTTGTTATTACAGGCACTAACAGTGGGTCTAAGTTCAGACGAGTTAATATTTATGTTACTATTTATGATTTTTTTATTGCTTCTTTACAGTGAAAAGCTGCTAATTTTTAGGCATATTTACATGTGTATATATGCATTTCATATATTCTGTTAACAGGAATAATTGCTGGCCCTTTGACACAAAATGTATTGATTTAGAAATTACTAAAATATTTTGCATTAAGTATACAATTCACAAGACTAGTAAACTGATATTGACCATACACTAACCTGTAAAGAATATACTGTAAACACAAAAGCAGAAAAGTTTGGCTTTAGAAAAAAAGTTCAGACAAATGAAACACCCAGCAACAGCTTTTATTGGCCTTACAAAAACCTACGGGAAAAAAAAATTAAAATGTCCACACAATGACATGAGTCCAGAGCTTTTCTGAATTTCTCCAAGTATATGAGCAGTTCCACGGCATAGGACATCAGCTGCCTCTCACTAATGAGACAAAGATAAATAGCAATTAGTAAAATGACATTTACACCTAGAGGCTGTCATAAACAATGTGAAAACAATACATACTGTATAGGCATTAGCACTGTTCTTGTGTTTGTAGAATACGTCCGGGCTACCACATTGCCGTCGTGAGTTTGCTGCTTATTAGATGAGGAGTCATTAACGGTCAAATAAATAGCCTATTGTTACGTTTATTTTGGCCAAAAGGCTTGCATGTAGCCCATTAAAAATTATATTAAAAAAATATGCGTCCATGACGTCTTCCCCCACTGCCAGTAATGCTTAATTTTATGTAAAAGTGTTTCAGTAAAAAATTACGAATGCACTATCTATCAAACTATGTCTTAAACGTTCAAATTTCTAGTACAAAATCTTCGCAAGTTGTAAAAATATAAATCTGTCTACCTGAACCGTCATTTCCATCTGTTGCAGCACGCATGCGAGTTCTATTTCGTCTAGTCTTAGCCCTTAAGCGAGCTGCTATTGGAAGGATGATCTCCACATCAGCCAGTCATGAAGAGCTTCAATGTATGCCCACTAATAGTGGGCCCCCTTGTGGGTATATAAGTGGAGCGACTCCACTGTTCGCCTCCTTTTTCTCTTCATGCCAAGCCTGAGAGCTTCTCTAAAGAGCAATTATCAAGAAGATTACGACTCACCAGCATGTCCAGCGACACCAGAACCTGCCCGGCCTGCCAGACGGGCTCCATTTCCAGCGGCGACCTGCACGCCAAATGCGAGGTCTGTCTCGGGGCTCATCACGCTGGCCTGGCCTTGACCCCCCAGGCCTCGTGCCCGTTTTGTGCCGCTTTGCCCGTGGCTGAGAAGATCCGCTGGGTCGAGTGCTTCACTCCCCCTGCCGACGAGGAATTCCCGGTGGCTGAGGCGCATTCGCTGGACAAGGCTTTGGACTTCTACAACGCCGGTCAGGAGCCGGCTGGCTTCAACCGGCTGGATGACTTCACCGACAGCGAGGACTACGACGAGGCTAGCCACCTTAGCCATTCCTCCCTCCTAGACAACACGGAGGTCGACGAGCCTGGCTCAGCGGGTCTTCCTGCCCCAGCAGCTTCTCTCTCCTCCCTACCAGCAGTAAGAGCACTGCTTCAGGAGCTGCCTGCCATCATCTCCGCGGCTGCGGTCCGCAAGGGGCTAGCCGTTCCAGAACCGCTGCCGCCCGAAGCTGATGACTTGGCGGGAATTTTCGGGACAACTCAGACGCGCTGTCCAGACCCCATCTGGCCGCGCTTCCCCGCTGCTATGGGCTGCTGGTCCGCCGCCTTCACCGAGCCTGCAAAGCTCAAGGCGCCAGTTTCCACCTACGCGCCCATCACCAAGGTCGAGGGCTTCTCCGACCAGGGCTGGCCGTCCGTTCCTCCACTCGAGCCGGACTTGGCCTCGCTGTTTGGCGCCAAGAACCACCTCACTGGCCCGCAAGCAGTTCCCGCTTCGAAACATGACCAGCTGCTGACAAGGCTCACCGACCGCGCACACCAGTGTGCCTTTCAGACCGGCGCTGCAGGGAATAACATCGCCCTTCTCGCCTTTGGCGTTTCGAAGATGATGGAGGAGCTGGACGCTCCCGACGAGTCGAAGACCGCCATCATTAAAACTACTGATGCTATCCTCAATCTATGTGCTGCTGTGCTCACCGGTTCTGCTCGCATTGCTGCCTGGCAGACCCTCATCCAGCGGGCCCTGTGGCTCAAGGCCCTGCCCTCCATTCCTGATCACCTGCACAGAGAGATGCTGGAAGGCCCCATCACCTCTGACGTTTTGTTCGGTCCCCATCTTAGGGGCATCATCGAGAGGGCTCAGAAGACAGCTGAACTATCAGCTACGGTGCGAGACTTGGTCCACCCTCGGTCAGCCTCGCACTCCGGCCGTTCCGCCAGAGGATGGGACGAACGGCGTGGGAACTTCAGGCGCCCAGCTGTGCCGCCCTCTCCATGGAGCCTGCCCCCCGCTTCGGCTCCACCTCAGCGAGACCAGCGAGTTGGCGGCCAACGGGTTCGAAGGAACCAGCAGACGCCGTTGTGGCAGGTGCAGGTGCAGGAGCCTCGCCGGAAGCAGCCACGGAAATGACTCCTTGGGGGGAATGTGTGTGTTCATGAGTGTAATGCTGTTGAAGCTGCTGTTGATGTTGATGTTGGTTTTGAAATAAAACCCAAAAAACGTCACTTAAAGAGCTCAATCCTACAGTCCTCTGCAGAGTCCTCTGCCGGCTCTTCACACACGTTCCCCACATCAAGCACTGCGGCACATATACGTATTCCCGCAGTCAGTCATGTCTCACGGCCGGCTGTAAAGGTGCGCTCCATTCGTGCACCGGCCCCGGCCTCCGGCCAGGCCCAGCCCGTCCCGTTTTCCCTACAACGCTGGGTGGGACGGGACGTCATGAAGCGGCCGCGGTCACGCGCAGCGGCACAGTACGCGGCTCCGTCCGCGGGCACTTTGCCGTCCCCGTGTATGGTCCCGGCTCCCACACGCCCTGCTCCTTTGGTCTCCACACCCCGCGGTGAGGATCAGCCGCTTCCAGCTGGTTCACACTCGCCCTTTCGAGCACAGGCCTCCATGGGTCGCCCCCAGTCTTCTGGGGCGAGCGACGGCGGTAAGGGCGCATACTCAGTCTTCAGACATTACTCACGTGACCGCGAACACGCGTCCGCTGTTGGAACGTGTGCGCAAATGGCGCCACCTTTCTGCCATGGGCAAATGGATATCGGAGACCATTCATTACGGTCACGCACTCCATTTTCAGGACGCTCCTCCTCCCTTCAACGGGATCGTGGAGACGACATTCACATCACGAGTTCAATCTCAGACCCTGGAGCTGGAGCTGTGGGAACTTCTGTCCAAGGACGCTATTTCCCGAGTCCCTCGCGGACAAGAGCTCTAGGGTTTCTACTCCCGCTACTTCGTAGTACCGAAGAAGTCGGGAGGAATGAGACCGATTCTAGATCTTTCCCTGTTCAACTGCTCCATAGCAGTGATGCATTTCCGCATGTTGACAATAAGGCAAGTCCTGGAATACTTGCATTCCGGAGACTGGTTAACGTCAATAGACCTGAAAGACGCATACTTCCACATCCCGGTAATTCCCAGGCACCGGAAGTTCCTGCTCTTCTCATTCAAGGGAGTTCGATACCAATTCAATCGCCTCCCTTTCGGCTACTCGCTAGCCCCGCGCATTTTCTCCAAATGTCTGGAGACCGCGCTGCAGCCGCTGCATGTGGCGGGAATGAGAGTTTTATTCTACCTGGACGACCTGCTCCTGTGCGCTCGGTCCGAGGACGAGGCGTCGGAACAGACCAGGAAGTTAACGGAGCATCTGTCAACCCTGGGGTTTTCTATAAACTGGGAGAAGAGCTCCATCCTTCCATCCCAGTCGATTGTGTTTCTCGGGGTGGAGCTGAACGCCTCCCTGATGAGAGCACGTTTGTCGCCGGTGAGAGCGAAAGATCTCATCGCGGTGATCTCCCGCGTGCAACCCCGCAGGATCCTGAGGGCCCTGTTAATCATGAAACTTCTGGGCATGATGGCTGCAGCCCACGCTGTGG